TGCTGTGTTACCTAAATGACGGGAGATAATTGATTCGTTCCCTCGGCACTGCAACATGATTTCAAAGTTTTTTAATTTTTTTTTTAAATAACTAATTACGTCACGAACTATCGTTAGCCCCTTATTTGTTGGGTGTTATTTCTTCGGGTAATATTTTTTTTAAATGACTTAAAGGAATGAATTATTTAAAGTACATTTTGAACATATTTAAAAAGGAAAAAAAAAATTTGAACTGATTTTTAAAAAAATAGATAAAAAATGAAATGATTTCACATGTCGTATAAATGGACATAAGTAAGAGCTACTCACCAACCTTTGATGTAGCAGTCTTTGGTGTAGCAGTTTTGGTGTAGCAATCTTTGGTGTGGCAGGCTTTGGTGTAGCAGTCTTTGGTGTAGCAGTCTTTGATGTAGCAATCTGGGGTGTAGCAATCTTTGTTGTAACAGTTTTGGTGTAGCAGTCTTTGGTGTAGCAGCCTTTGGTGTGGCAGACTTTGGTGTAGCAGCCTTTGGTGTAGCAGTCTTTGGTGTAGCAGCCTTTGATGTGGCAGTCTTTGGTGCGGCAGCATTTGGTGGAAACTACTGTGACGTCCACCACAGGATACATAGGGAGCAATTTTTAGCTTAGATCGAGATGACGGACAGCGTAGGTTTTCATTACACAATAAAAAATATGTTTATTTATTTATTTTAAACTGTAGCCTTTTTGTGTGTCTTTGCTTGCATATGTGATGTCGTAAAGCCTTGATGTCGTAAAATTCATCTTGACACGACAATGTCTCCGTTTTAAGTATGCTTTCCTCATGCACGCCCATGAATGCATGTATGATACAAGTCAACGAGAAATGGTTTTCCTTTTTTTCATGTATTCTTTGCAGAGTTGCCCACCATCCGTAAATTTCCGGAAAGTGGGTGCAAATTTCTTGTATACATCGACTTCTCCGTATAAATCCGTATGAACCTTAGGATGACCATACTATGTGAAACACCTTTTTTATGGAGAAACATCTAATACAGTGGTTCTCAGCCTTCCTAAGGCCGCAACCCTTTAATCAAGTTCCTCATGTTGGGGTGACCCCCCATTATGAAAGTATGTTCGTTTCGACTTCATAAATATGTGTTTTCCGATGGTCTTAGGCGACCCCGGTGTAAGGGTCGTTCGACTCCCAAAGGGGGCGCGACCCACGTGTTGAGAACCGCTGATCTAATAGGATCATAAATGTGATTAAGTAAGAACTCACGAGAATGCCGTTGTACAATAAGCTAACGTTATTATTTTAAAAATTGGCCGACTCCTAAGAGTCAAAGAGAAGACGTCGTACAATGGGATTTTTGAAGTCTTTTTATATTTCTTGTAGGCAATAATTGCGTGGGTTTAAATAGTCATCAGAATTATTGATCTGTTTGGATTTGGCAATCCTGACTCCACGAGAGAGATGGCGGCACAAAGCTCTGTGGAGAAAGCAAATACGGAAAGGAAGGTGAGGATTGATAAGTTATACGATGAGATAGATATGATAATCAAAACGAGACATAAGAGACATTGGACGATGTTGTACTTAAGGTCGGGAAAAAGTCGGAAAGAGTTAGAGAGGATTAAAGAGACCGAAAGACGTAAAAAGAAACGTAGAATGGCATACTCTCCACTGGCAGTTGAAAGAAATGTTGAATGGCCTACGCTCCACCGGCAGTTGAAAGAAATGTTGAATGGCCTACGCTCCACTGGCAGTTGAAAGAAATGTTGAATGGCCTACGCTCCACTGGCAGTTGAAAGAAATGTTTAATGGCCTACGCTCCACTAGTAGTTGAAAGAAATGTTGAATGGCCTACGCTCCACTGGCAGTTGAAAGAAATGTTGAATGGCCTACGCTCCACTGGCAGTTGAAAGAAATGTTGAATGGCCTACGCCCCACTGGCAGTTGAAAGAAATGTTGAATGGCCTACGCCCCACTGGCAGTTGAAAGAAATGTTGAATGGCCTACGCCCCACTGGCAGTTGAAAGAAATGTTGAATGGCCTACGCCCCACTGGCAGTTGAAAGAAATGTTTAATGGCCTACGCCCCCTGGCAGTTGAAAGAAATGTTGAATGGCCTACGCCCCACTGGCAGTTGAAAGAAATGTTGAATGTCCTACGCCTCACTGGCAGTTGAAAGAAATGTTGAATGGCCTACGCTCCACTAGTAGTTGAAAGAAATGTTGAATGGCCTACGCTCCACTGGCAGTTGAAAGAAATGTTGAGTGGCCTAAACTTTACTGACAGTTGAAAGAAATGTTGAATGGCCTAAGGTCCACTGGCAGTTGAAAGAAATGTTGAGTGGCCTAAACTTTACTGACAGTTGAAAGAAATGTTGAATGGCCTAAGGTCCACTGGCAGTTGAAATAAACGTAGAATGGTGTACGCTCCACTGGCAGTTGAAAAAAATTGTTGAATTGCCTACGCTCAACTGAGAGTTGAAGATGTTAAGAAGAAGAAGAGCCCTGCTGGCTTTTGGGTTGTTAAAAATTATGGGTGGGGGGCGGAGGGGGTGGTTCGTTGGTTTTTTTAAAAGAAAAGATTAAGTCCAGTGTCAGAGCAGGAGAGATTTATTTGAATATCAGAAAATGTTTAATGAGGCAACACATCATTCTTATAAATTTATTGGGTTATGATGGAAAGAGCAGAAAAAAGATGAAATTGGACTGAAAGTTATTCGACATATGCACTTTGAGAACCATTGTAACCAACACAACGATAGAAAAACAACACAAAAAAACGAACAAGAAAACACGAGTAAAGTCTACCATAAACTGATGTTGAAACCGCCCCTCATCACATAATGGCTAACCACTCGGTACAAGCTCCCGCTCTGTCGGATATCCGCATCCCAGGGCTAATCAATAACATTGTGTGTTTCTTGAAGACATGCCACAAAATGGCGACTTGAACCGGGCGGTGAGATGTCGTGGTTTCTCCGAGTGCAGGCGGTGATGGTGATCTAAGGCACCCCCATTGTGCAAACCGCCTGTGTCGCCTGCTGGATGGGCATCTTGTTTGGATGAAATGCGACCTTGTGGTGAAAACATCAGTCTTATGCTTGTGGAATCTAATGACCAATCAGTCTTATGCTTGTGGAATCTAATGACCAATCAGTCTTTTGCTTGTGGAATCTAATGACCAATCAGTCTTATGCTTGTGGAATCTAATGACCAATCAGTCTTTTGCTTGTGGAATATAATGACCAATCAGTCTTATGCTTGTGGAATCTAATGACCAATCAGTCTTATGCTTGTGGAATCTAATGACCAATCAGTCTTATGCTTGTGGAATATAATGACCAATCAGTCTTATGCTTGTGGAATCTAATGACCAATCAGTCTTATGCTTGTGGAATCTAATGACCAATCAGTCTTATGCTTGTGAAATCTAATGACCAATCAGTCTTATGCTTGTGGAATTAATGACCAATCAGTCTTATGCTTGTGGAATCTAATGACCAATCAGTCTTATGCTTGTGGAATCTAATGACCAATCAGTCTTATGCTTGTGAAATCTAATGACCAATCAGTCTTATGCTTGTGGAATCTAATGACCAATCAGTCTTATGCTTGTGGAATCTAATGACCAATCAGTCTTATGCTTGTGGAATCTAATGACCAATCAGTCTTATGCTTGTGAAATCTAATGACCAATCAGTCTTATGCTTGTGGAATCTAATGACCAATCAGTCTTATGCTTATGGAATCTAATGACCAATCAGTCTTACGCTTGTGACATATAATGACCAATAAGTCTTATGCTTGTGGAGTCTAATGACCAATCAGTCTTATGCTTGTGGAATCTAATGATCAATCAGTCTTATGCTTGTGGAATCTAATGACCATTATGATATTGAGTAGCACTGACAGCTGATATCACTATCGTGGTGGGCAGTTAAATGTCTAGGGCACCGGACAGATAATGTATCAGGTACTGGACATTTGATTAATCAGGTACCAGACATATATGGTAAATGGACACGGAAAAATAAGTTCTAGTACACGAAAGTATAATTGATAAATCAACGCATCTGAATGGAGACTGGTGGATGCCATGTCGATACTTGATAATGTTCACAAATTGCCCGGATGGTGGATTGTGAAGCTGAAAGATTACATGAAATTGTGGGGTTGATTATGTATCAGAGAGAGTACCGGATGCTTCCTGTGCATTGTTCAACTGAGAAAATTACTCGATGTTTGAGGTGGATTGTTCAAGTGAAAGATGCTTCAAGTGGAGTGTGCACTAGAGAGACAACTAAATGATTCGAGTGGCTCGTAAAACTGAGAGATTACTGGATGCTTACTATGGATAGGACCTTTGAGATTTTACTGGATGCTTCCGATGGATGGTGCCTTGGGAGATTTCTGGATGTTTCCGGTGACCAAAGAAACTAAGAGATTACTTTGGTTTTTTTTTTTCGCAGATGGATGAGGAAACAAGCAGATGGATGAGGAAACAAGCAGATTGATGAAATTATGTTGAACACTCCGCTCCTAATGGACCTTATCCGACTTTATCCTCCCTGATCAAATGAGAATGGGTGTTAAAACTGCAGGAAATTGAACTTTTCCGTTACATATTAAGTTATTCACAATATCTGATCATCAAGGTGGCTGCCCCAACAGTTGTTGCTTTCTTTGTTAAAAAAATATTGGAATTATCTCCTAAAATAAAGCCCAAAGATGATGATTTAATTAATTAAAAAATCGATCGCTAAGCCCGCGCACGGCTGTGAGACCACAGTGAATTTTCAAAGCCAATCATTATTTCCGTCATTTGGTGTTCAGATTTCATCCAACAAACAACGAATTTCAAACCGTCTCGGCAAAAATCGGTGTTGACAATGTTTGAACGATAGCCGAAAAACGCAGTAGGCGGGTAAACAATTTTTTGTAGTCAATGCTTCTGTCAGAAAAAAGGGGAGATAACTAACTTTAACTATGAGCGACTTACCTCACTTACACGAAGATACCACAGGATGGATGGGTTTTATCTATACCACCGCTGCCCGCACGCAAGCCGAAGACAACATATCCCCGAAGCACCTAGTTTTGAGCGACCGTGACAGGACCATCATCGAGGTGGTCAACTACGTGTTTCTGTGCGGCATCATCTCGCTGTTCGGCATTGTGTCGAACGTCATCAACATCGTCATCTTCTTCAAGCAGGGCCTCCGGACCACCATGAACATCAGCTTCTTCGGGCTCGCCATCTCGGATCTCTGCAGTCTCGTAAGCTTGGCGTTGTTCTCCTTCTTCCTGAACCCACTCGTGGAGAACTCCGACCTGCCGATCATATCGCGAGAGTTCGAGTACCTGGTCGCCGGCTGGCCCTATGTCTGCTTCACCCGGACCACGTGTCTCATCACGGCCTTCGTGACGGCGGAGCGATGTCTGTGCATCACGTGCCCGCTCAAGGTCAAACAGATCATCACGCCGAGACGGGCCGGCGCCGCCGTGTGCGCCACTTACGTCATCATGATGCTGTCCGTCGTCCCCGAGTACGCCACGATGTACATGGACTGGAAGTTTTACCCGCCGAGGAACACCACTCGGCTCGGCCTCGTCTTCACCAGCAACAGAAAGAGCGTGGAGGGCCTCGTGTTTATTATCAACGCAAGCCTCGGCGCTCTGTCCTACCTCCTCGTCGTCGTCTTCACCGCCATCTTGATCTGGAAGCTCAAACACAATTCAAAATGGCGGAAAACGACGAGCGTAGACCGGATGGACTGGACGCTGAGCCGGGACCGGAAGGCGGTCAGCATGGTTCTCCTCATAGCGAGCATATTAATCGTCTGCTCCGCCCCGAGTATCGTCCTTTCGATCGTGGCGTACTTCCAGCCAGAGTTCAGCGTCCTCGGTTTCCATAGCAACGTTTTCTTCGCAATGTGGTCGTTCGCGTTCTTCTTCGGCTCCATCAACGCGACGGTCAACATCTTCCTGTACTACAGGATGAGCTCGAAGTACAGGAAGAGTTTCCTGGAACTGTTCTCCCGCTTCCACAACAAGCCCATCTGCAACAGCAACGAGCCGAGCGTGGACCGGCCCAGCTCCTTGAAGCCCGCGAAAATGGTTGGCCGGGGTGTGGCCGACTCCAACAGCGCCACGGACAGACCGAGACCAAACAACTGGCCGGCTGACGGTGACTTGTTTACCCCTGGGAGGGATGGGCAACATGGCGTAATGGTCGGAAGGTCCTCGGACTCTACCAATCCTTACATCGTGATGTCTGAACGCCCTGCAGTCAATTGAACACATGACAAAACCAGCTTTTAAGAGTAACGTCTTAATGCTAAAATGATACATGAATCTTAGGTGTATCATAGCCAGATTTGAATGTGAAGTGTATTAGCAACGCCGAAGCATCGTCAGCGATACTCAAATTACACGTGTATGATGTTAAACGTGAATAGCTGGATGTTCCCCGAGGAGAAGGACGATTTGCACTCGTCGGGAGTAGTTGATGAGAAAGATCTCATCCATGTGAAATGTTTCATGACTGAAAGAGTGAACCAATATTGATTACATCATCACTTCTGGGGAGAAAAAATTTCGAATAAATTGCATGCTACTTATTTTATAATTCACTTGATTTTTCCTTTTAAGTAGAGCGATGTGCCATCGTTGTGATATTAATACGCCACTTAATGAAGACAAGAACAACTCTTTGTTTTTCCATTAAAATCGTGACGTCATTCTAGAAATATATCTGGCAAGCCAGTTTATCTTCGTAGTTAAATGTACTGCCTACGTAAATACATGATTCGGTTAGTGAGCCAGAAATGTGTCAACGGAACCTAGGGGGAAGGACGTTGATCGAGTATTCCAAACACCGTACATCATGTCAATCATTGTCTTTACAGGAATGTGTTCAGAAAATATTTTAGGAAGTGATCGCAAACATCAAATTAACATTAAACGACACTAATTTCACATTCAGTCTTTAACTCCACACATTAATTCAGTAATTCATAAATATTCACGAATCTCTATCATCATCATTGGCCTCATTGCCGTCATCATCTTCAATATTCCACAAGTGGGACTTGAGAAGAATATTAACTCCCCTCGGGTATCCTATTTCTAGACAGAGTCTAGCAACCCTAAATACTCTCCTAAAAATACGTCATTAATGGTCATCTCAGATTTCATTTACAATAACTTGCGTCCTAGGGGACGGCTCGCCAGTCTTAGTCATACTTAATGGCTTCTTGGCTCATAAATAATCGCCTATGCCAAAATCAATCGCCATAGTTTAAGGCTAGGGCGTATGGCGTGAAGTACATCTGAAATAAAGCTGCCCTTGTCTATGAACACTGGCATGTGTTGTGAAGCAACTGCTCCTCCATTTGAACACGCTGTAGAGATGTCGGCTTTTCGTTTTGAACGTTCTAACTTATGTTATGCGCCACATCTCTTCTTTGAACATTCTTATAAATCACCGTCAGGTAAATTGCAGATTCTGATAAGATTTGGAAAAAAAAAACAAAAAAACAATTTGATGGAACTAAACAAAATAGTTCTGGTTCTGGTTCTGCTAATGTTTCGTTGCTGCATCCTTGTACTGGCATTTTTGCAACGGTTGGGGGTATGATGTTGCTATTCTAACAGCTCCTAGCTAATGCCAGGGCAGCCTTGAAGCTTATGTATTTACACATTTGAAAATAGTAGAACAAGTCATGTTAAGCTTAAAGTAATAGACAGGACGATAAGATTTGAACGGTTCAGCCTTAGAGACTTCTTCAGTCTTAACACACCTTCCTCTACTAATTCTTCTACACAACTTGAATGCAGTCCATCAATTATTATCTTTGGAACCGAACATGCGTGTTTTAGTTTCCGATACATCGTGTTCAATATATTTGACCTTTTTTTTATATGTGTTAAATGCGTGCACTGTGTGTGTGTGTGATCTCGGTCACTATTGTTTGATCTAAGTCAGATACACATGTGATCTAGGTCGTGTATATGTGATCTAGATAATGTATTCTTAATCTATGTCTCACATCAGTACATCTACCCCCCCCCCTTTTTTTTTTATAAGCATCTTTCCATACAATTTGCAGATATGAGACAGAAACAAAAGGATTTAAAGGGTACACAAACCGCCTATGTATCCCACAGTGGGTGCAAACAAGAGAGCGTTCTTCCTTGAGCCTCACGTCCATACATCTGGTCGTCCTTTCAGAAGTCATGTCGCCTGTTTGATGTGTCTTGTTGAAGGAAGGATGATCAGGCGATATGGTACGGTCATTGTGATGTACCGTTGAGTGTAGCAAGCAGAAGTGCACAAGGATGTACCGAGTACTACATTGCAACAGTAACTTAAAGACGGATTGGTAAAAAAACAACAGGTTTTTTCCCTTGTCAATGAATGTCGTGCAATGAATTTAAACAGATATTCAATAGAGATAAACAGCGAAACAATAGCGGCGGCAGTGTGTGAACGTCCCATCTACTACAGCCACTGGACAAAACTTCCATTCCAAATAACCCACTTTATAAGAATCGCAAATAGAGCAAACTCTTAGAAATTTTATTTTGCGCTCCTATTGAACCCACAGCGTCACACCCATGCAGACATACCTAGAGAATCATTATTTATAATGAACAATTTAACGTATTTAGTCAAGTTGTGTTTTCATATTTTCAAGACGTGGTTAAACCATTTTTTTTTTGTTAAGAGATACCCAAAATAAATTTACATATAATGTATTAGGCTAACACTTTGTTATTTTAAAAAAGTATTTATTCTATTTTTTTTTTACATTCATCTCTCTGGACTTAGCGGAGAAACCACACCATGAACTTCTCAACGGACTGTGCAGATGTCACTGTTTGCAATAACAGTTAAATCTGGCTACTGACACTCAAAGACGGTGTCGAGTTAAAGAGTGGAGATACACCGGTAACTGACTAATCGTACGCATATTTACCTGTTTTGGGGGGGGCTTTTTTTTGGTCTGGAAAAAAGGCCCCCACCCACCCCCCCCCCCCCCCCACAAAAAAAAAAGAAACAACAAAAATCCTTTCAAGATTTAGCCTTGACCTTTACTTGACTTTTCAAAACGCTTCCGTCTCGGCGCGCATCCCTTATCATCAAAAGGATAACTCCCGACACTTCGGCCACAGCAAGACACCCAAGCCTAGAGTGCACGGGACAAGGGGTATCTGGGACGGCGATCCATCGTTGACGCGGTCGCCTGTTGATCTTCGTGCTCACGCGAGGTCCCACTCGGTCACATCGCATCAGATGGACGGGCCGCTGGACACTCCACGCTGTGCTCTCGTCCGGAAGTACATATATTTTTCATCTTCTTCCTATAACAACGGTAATCTAAGGGCCGATAACGGACGACGCGAGCTTTAATTCACGCCCCTGGCGGCAGGCGGCGGCCATTTAACAACGAGGTGTGAGGGGGGTGTTTAAACAGCTGTTACTTGTTGCATGTTGGATGTTGGTTACATGTTCCGCGATGGACGTGTCAGAAGGAGATAATGAAACCGTTGTACTTTTGATTTGATTTCAAAACAAGATTTAATCGTGTACTTTTCTCAAGCCACAGGGAGTGAGAGAACTTTAAACAAATTTTATTTGAGTCTGAGTAAACTGAAATAGAACTCAACAGACGGTTAATGTAACTGACGAGCCTGCGATTTACATCAAGGATTCGTCCAACTCAAGCGTCGACACAGTTAGCACAGAAGTCAAATAACGGGACTCGTTGAGACTACTGACTTTACACGAGGCGAATTCAATAAAAACTGGAGGTGTCCATACGGCTGCAGTGATAATTCTGTTAACATCACAATGTGACTGTTAAGTTTCTGTTAGCATCGCAATGTGACTGTTAAGTTTCTGTTGTTAAGATGTTTACTGTTGTTAGAATTTTAATTATAAATAATGAGCCTTTTATTCGGTGCATTCAGTCCGTGTCATCCATAAAGTCCGGCTGTGTCATCCGACTGTGTCATCGATAAAGTCAGGCTGTGTCATCCATAAAGTCAGGCTGCGTCTTCCGTAAAGTCCGGCTGTGGCATCTACAAAGTCAGGCTGTGTCATCCATAAAGTCAGGCTGTGTCATCCATAAAGTCAGGCTGCGTCGTCCGTAAAGTCCGGCTGTATCATCTACAAAGTCAGGCTGTGTCATCCATAAAGTCAGGCTGTATCATCCATAAAGTCAGGCTGCGTCATCCGTAAAGTCAGACTGTGTCATCCGTAAAGTCAGGCTGTGACATCCGTAAGTCAGGTTGTGTCATCCGTAAGTCCGGTTGTGTCATCCGTAAAGTAAGGCTGTGTCATCCATAAAGTCAGACTGTGTCATCCATAAAGTCAGGCTTGTGTCATCCGTAAAGTCAGGCTGCCACTTATCTCTGACCATCGTGGAATATACTTTAAATAGCGCTCCTGTGCTGTCTATTTGCACGTCCTTCTTATGCGTACGGCAGCAGGTGTAGGGGAGAAGCCTCATTGACGTCTTCAATAGCTTACAACCGCGAAAACCTTCCCGTCATGAGTGCCCCTTACAACATCACCGAGATTGTCGCGAGGGTAAACATGAGCGCCGAGAGAGACATCCTCGTCAGCGATGACGTGCGCGTCATTATCGAGATCGTCAACTACGTGGTCATCTGCGGCGGCGTCTCCATCTTCGGGACGGTGGCCAACTCCATCAACATCATCATCTTCTTCCGGCAGGGCCTGAAGACGACCATGAACATCAGTTTCTTCGGACTGGCCATCTCGGATCTCTGCGGCCTGTTCCTTCTCTTCTGGTTCACGATCTTCCTGAACCCGTGGGTCGAAAACTCACAGCTCCCGCTGATAACCCGAGAATTTCAGTATCTGGTCGTCGGCTGGCCGTACGAGTGTTTCTCCAGGATATCAAATCTCATAACGGCCTTCGTGGCGGCCGAGCGGTGTCTAAGCATCACGTACCCCTTGAAGGTGAAACGCATCATAACGAGGAGACGCGCCACCGCGGTCGTCTGCTGCATCTACGGGATAATGTTCCTGTCGCTCCTGCCCGAGTACGCCACGTCCTACATCGACTGGAAGTTCTACGCTCCGAAAAACGACTCCCGGCTCGGCCTCGTCTTCACGAAGAACAGAAAAAGCATGGAGGGCCTCGTGTTCATCCTGAACGCTTTCCTCGGGGCACTGTCGTACCTGCTGGTCGTCATGTTCACCGCCGTCCTGATGTGGAAGCTGAAGCACAACTCCGCCTGGCGGAACAAGACCGCCTTGTACAGCGGGGAGCAGAGCCTGGCCCTGAAGCGCGACCGGAAGGCCATGAGCATGGTCCTGATGATCGCCAGCGTCCTCGTCGTGCTGTCCTCTCCGAGCGTCATGTGCCTGTCCGTCACGTTCATCGTCAGCGACTTCAGCATCCTCGGGTTTTACACCAACATTTTCTTCACCTGCTGGTCATTCGCCTTCACGGCCAGCTCGGTGAAGTCCAGTATCGACATTTTCCTGTATTATAAGATGAGCTCCAAGTATAGAAAAACTTTCTTGGAATTGTTTTCCAAAATGAAATCCTCGGGCCGAGTTAACAGTAGCGATGCTGGAAGTGAACGCTATGTACAGACTAGGACATAACAGTAACGATACAGGAAGTGAACTATATGTACAGACCAGGACGTTACAGTACACTGGAAGTGAACGATATATGCAGACCAGGACGTAACAGTATACAGGAAGTGAACATATGTACAGACCAGGACTAACAATACATCTTAGAGAATAAACACTAGTCAACAAAGGAATGGTGATTTGTTTCAAAACAGTTCAAATTGATATTAAGTTATTTTAGTATAAAGTTCCATGCACTTTCCAGTTACTAGGCTTCATACGACAGACACTGTAACTACTTTACTCGGCTCCATAAACCAGCAAGAGTAACTAGAAGTCGCAAGGCTTAATTTACCGAGAAAGTTTTATTACTATATAAATCAGCCTTGAGCACTCTTTTGTGCAAAAAGCCTCATGAAGCATCATGGTGTTCTTTGGCGGGGCGCATGATATTCTTCTTGGAATCTAGAGTTCAATACAATAAATATAAATGAGTTCTAACGTAAGCAGTTGAATAATGCATTGGTTTCCTGTGACTATTAGTCTAACATTTGACAATCTAACACTGTGATTATTATGTTTCAAATGCTTTTTACGAATAATATTTAACAATAATGTATTTTTACATGTTAGAAAAACATTAATGTTCCTGGTCTTGATGGCCGCATTCACGTTCCAACCGGCCCTCGTGTAGCCCGCGGTTCACCGGTCGCTCACTCCTTAAATAAATCAAGCTTTCACCACCCTCACTACAGGTTTTTTTGTGTTTGCTACTTGTTCAAATTTGTCTTTTGGTGACAACCCTTTGACAACGCTACACCAGTGACAGGGTGACAACCCTTTGACAACGCTACACTAGTGACAACACTTTGACAACGCTACACCAGTGACAGGGTGACAACCCTTTGACAACGCTACACCAGTGACAGGGTGACAACCCTTTGACAACGCTACACCAGTGACAGGGTGACAACCCTTTGACAACGCTACACCAGTGACAGGGTGACAACCCTTTGACAACACTACACCAGTGACAGGGTGACAACCCTTTGACAACGCTACACCAGTGACAGGGTGACAACGCTTTGACAACGCTACACCAGTGACAGGGTGACAACCCTTTGACAACGCTACACCAGTGACAGGGTGACAACCCTTTGACAACGCTACACCAGTGACAGGGTGACAACCCTTTGACAACGCTGCACCAGTGACAGGGTGTTTGCTATTGACGGCGCGCCGTTGTTGATTCGACGCCTCAGATTTAAGGGGGTCGGCTAATTGCGACACGTCATATGCAATATGCAATGAGTTTTCCCCATGCCCTTGCATAGGAGATAACGGCAGCCACTTTTTAAGTGAGATACTCAGAAGCGGAATGTTAGTGATAACGTCATATCACGGTCAGCTGTAGCGTCATCTGTTGCACTGTTACAACGTGTGTGCTCGGACATTTTTAATTGTACTTTAAATTGTTGAATAAAAAGAGATTTTACACTTTGAACATGTTTCACGTATTTTTGATATGGCCCCAGTGTAACGCTTAAACAGATCATCGGCGATGGACACGGGGGAAAAGTTTCTCTAAGCGTCACTATGAGCATGTACGACCATTTACCAACACTGGTCTCGTTATCAACGTAGCGCATAGTCAACGCGTATAGGAGCGAGCAAACAACAGCTCTTCTGCATATCCCACGGCACCCTGCTCTTCTGCATATCCCACGGCACCCTGCTCTTCTGCATATCCCACGGCACCCTGCTCTTCTGCATATCCCATGGCACCCTGCTCTTCTGCATATCCCACGGCACCCTGCTCTTCTGCATATCCCACGGCACTCTGCTCTTCTGCATATCCCACGGCACCCTGCTTATCATGCTGTTATTTATTTATTTAGGCATTTTTATATAGCGCTTACCATAAAGCTCTAAGCGCTTTACAATTATTAAAAAACATGTAAACTAAGTAAAATAAAAATGAGACACTAGGATAGTAACTACTATACTATAGAAACAATGAAAATGGCTATAAAACGAGGACACTTTGACACGTTTTGGCCTATACTTCAGGCTCAACCCGAAACAGAAAATGAGGCAGGGCAAGATATCTGAATTATGTCCGCAGCTTTTAATATATAATATAGTTTTTAAGAGTGAGCCAATGACGTCATGTAACTGAGTTCAACTTAAAGGTGTGCAATTTCGTGTTGATTACACTCGATACATATATATCCAATTTTTAAATGGGATTCTTAAAAACAATGATGGCGATTTTTTAAAATGTGTTTACTGAAATCGACTCATTTTGACATCTGATAAAATGACGCTGTGTATTGCCTGTAAACAGTTTTATATTATGTAATCTTTATTATGTTATTTATATCAAATAGAAATCTAAATGCATAATTCTCTATGTAACAATGTCAATATCGCTATAAATTCATGACAATTTAACTGCGCTAAACGAGATTCTTAACAATGCCGCAGGTGCATTTGATGCTTGATTCAGATCTCGTTTTCTTTTAGGGATATAGTTGGTGTAATAAATCTGCGGTTGAAAAGGGTGTAGGAAATTGGAATAATTATAAAGTTAAGGGGCGGGGGGAGAGGGGTAGCACTATTTGGACAATTGGAATGCATGTTTTGTTATGTCACTTTAGCAGATGGAAAGTTCAGGCATGGCAGTCGCCATTGTTTGGCTGACTAGAGCTAGTAAAATAATATTATAAATAAGTAGTTTATCGGCATATGAGAGTTAATATATTGTATGATATAAGGAGACTGACATTTTCCCCCACTGTCAGTACACTATAAATGAATTATTCTCAATCTTCTATCTGTATCTATGCATTTTTAAAACTTTTTTTTTTATTTTGAAAGCAAATTTAATTTTATAATTATAGTAGCTAAGTTCTCACATGAATTAAAGCGTGCATTTTCTTTACAAACGTATCAATTAGGGTGAGAGACTGCAATCAGGTTAAGTAGAATGAAATTAGGAAAACAATGTATAGGAAAACCTGAAAAAGACGGAACAGAACAACGAAAGTGACAGAAAGAAAGAAGCCTTCTTCAGCGAGCCAGCGCCTGGAAAACAGATATAGAAATTAAAATAAGAAATTTAGCTGTAATGCAGTATCCGAAAAAACAGCAAAAGGAATGTCAAAGAGCATTGGTATGTAAGACAGTTAATATAGGAAATCGGGGACGGAAGAGAGGAAAATTAAGTACATGATGATTGGTTGCAAGGGGGGGGGGGGGGGGCGCGAAGAAAATATTTAACACGTGAAGTAGGACATGACTATCAAGTCTCGAAACACCGAAAATCTGGTTTTGTGATCGGGAAATCCCCCCCTCCCCCCCAACATCTACTTTTTGTGATCGGAAAACCCCCCAACGTCGTTCTGTCATAATTTCGTGGTTAAAAATCATCTAATTCCTCATTAGTGGTAATTTCATTTAACGAGCGTTCATTTTTAGACCAGAATATCAAGCCGACATAATTATTTTTCAATTTTTTAGCTTTGAAAATTGCAATAAAAATGTGTGCAATCTAAGGTAAGATTGTCGTAATTATGTATCAAAATCTGAATTAATATCCATTTTTCATATTACTCCAAACAATAAAAAAAAATTCGCTTGAATTCACTGAACTCAAAATAAGAATAATCTTCTAAAAAATTAACACAAACCAACGAATCGCACAATAACTTGACATATTCTTGATTGTAACCGCGAGTAATAACACTAATCATGTTAGTGCAATCAAATTTATTTCATCGGGGACGATGAAATGAAAACACAAATGCGTTGCGCTAATGTTTCTGGGGTTAACCAGACCCTGGTGCGCCAGTTGCAGAAAATGCTGCATGATTGTAGCATTGACATCAAAGACTTCCAATCCTCAATCGACAGTATTTGAGATCAAGACAAAGACTTCTAGGTTGTCATTAACGCCGACAAAACCCATCCCATGCACACAAAGACAGATATCATCAACCTGCAGCACGTGAAGTTGGTGTTGTCATCGTGGGGCAAACGTTCGTCAACAGGGATAGTATCTTGAAAAGAAGAGACAATAAACTGCAACGCATTAAGGAAACGCACAGATCCTATGATGTACTTCAATACCCCCTCATGTTCTGCAATAGTGAGGACGGCTATTCTGTGTCTATACCGCAAGTTGACACTGACAGTAAGTTACCTATGAAGAAAACCGTGTTTGTAGCGAACTTCTATTCATATCGGCTTATGATCAGACAACCACAGGAAAATACTATGTTTTTCTTCAGAAGTTTATTAAATCAGTTTTTAGTTAATATGTACGCGAAATTTGAATCCGAAAGACTAAATTATATACAACTAAACCAAAAGAAACTACGAGCTGAAAATTACGTCCACCTGAAAGAAGCTATTGAGAAAAACGACACTAATTTAGCGGAGTTTGGTCATGCTGTGATATTACCATCCTCCTTCACTGGAGGACCTCGCTATATGCCCGAGCGTACACAAGACGAAATGACCTACGTACGTAATTACGGCCGCCCTGACTTATTCATCACATTTACTTGCAATCCTAAATGGACTGACATCGCTGAAGTGCTCCTTCCGCATCAGAAACCTCACGATCGCCAAGACCGCATCAGTCGTGTATTTCATCTGATCATTCGCAAAATGATAGACTTGCTCACCAAGAGTAACATTTTCGGCTGCACAACTTGCTACATGTACACAATAGAGGGGCTAAAGTGAGGTCTTCCCCCTGCACACATCCTCCTGTGGCTACATCATAGGATTAACCAAGGTGCCATCAAGTCATCCGTGCGGAAATTCCTGATCCACAGACTGGCACTACCCTCCATGAAATAGTAAAATCAACGATGATTCACGGTCCATGCGGACCTCATAATATCAACTCAACCTGCATGATCAACGGAATATGCAGTGAAAAGTACCCG